AGCCAGAGCATTGGAGCTGACAGACATGTACTCACGTTGGCCTTCTGCTTCTCAGCCTGCAGCTGGGCATCAATCTCCTCTGGGCTTGTATACTGCCTCACCCGGCCTTTGTGGCCTCCCTTTCTACCTGCACAAAGAGCACAAGTTCAGGAAGGTGGGACAGAAAAGGCTGTCCTGCTTGGGACAAAGGGGACCTCACCCACCCTCCCCAAGTACCACCTAGCGTCCCCAAAGGACAAAAGCAGCAGCTTATGACACTTGATACACGAATTACCAGATGTAGGTTCCTAACAACAAGACCTGCAGTGAGGAAAGGAAGATGGAGTCTAACTGAATCCTGTTTCTTAAAACCCAGATATGGCTAAATTTAATGGCACACACCTTTTAGTCCCAGCACTCCAGAGTGCAAAGGCAGGCAAGATAAAGACCTCTTGAATTGTAGTCAGGCCTGGTCTACATATGGAGTTGCAGGTCAGGCAGGGCACAAAGTAAGACCTTTTCACAAACATATAAACAAAGTCCAAATAGTGTTCTCAGGTGCAATCAGGAAAGCATGAAACATGTTTGCCACTTCTGGCACTACAAACCATTTCTTTAATACTCTATCACAAGCTCATCTGATCCTTAGGACACAGGTACAGCCATTGATGGTTTTCTACCACAGGCAAGGAGACAGTGTCAAGCAAAGTGAAAACAGTAAGAATTCCGACACCTAAAGCTCTGGGTTCCAATCTCAGTTTTATCACTTTCTAGATCTGTGGTTCTCTGGGGAGGTGTATACTTTCCCATAGCCTCAAATTTTTCCCCATAAGTCTGCTGTGAAAATAAACTGATTACCATTTGAAAAGCAGCTGGAGCTGGGTATGGTGGTACATGCCTTTAATCCCAATTGTAGGAAGACAGATGCAAATCTCTGGGAGTTCAAGGCCAGTCTGGTCTACAAAGCGAGTTCCAGGACAGCCAAGGCTGTTACATAGAGAAACCCTGTCCCAAAGAAAGGAAGAAAGGAAGGAAGGTAGGAAAGAAAAGAAAAAGGCTGGAATTTTGTGTGGAACTGGATAAGAAAAAAAAAAAAATGTTTATTCTAATACACTGCTTGGTAGAAAAACATAAGCTACCATACTGGCCTCATAAGCGAACTACCACCAATAGCAGCAGAAAGAATAAAATACTTGGTGATATGAAGAGAATATTTACAGGATAAAAGTCCAAAATCTATCAGTAGGAATTCTGTGTTCAGGTTAAACCTGCAAATGGGGCTGGTTGGTTCCCAGCACTTACATGGCAGCTCAAAACCATCTGTAACTCCAGTTGTAGGGTGATCCAATGTCCTCTCCTGACCTCTTAGGCACTGTACCCATATAGTGCACTTATATGCAGGCAAAAAAACCTCACTCACACACAAAAAAAAACTGAACTAGTAAAATTAAAGTTCAATACAGATCCAACAGCAATCTAACTCTGAACTATTAGTGACAATTCATCTCAGAGGATAAGTTCCATACCCTGATGCTCTAGCCAGAACACTAGACCAATTCCTGCTAAAGCTCTTCTTATAACTGGGTAGCAACTCCTCTGCATCCTGATGCTGGTGTGGCTATGACCTCTACTGCCAAACAGGACCTCTCTTGATTGCTGAAAGTGTCTTGCTCTGAGTAGAGAATCTGTAATCAGCCAGAACTACTCCAAGCTCTGGAGAATATTGCAGAGACACCGATTTCCTGGACAGCAGCTGCAGAGCTGTAATTGGGCTGCCACAGCCCAACCACCCATTTTTAATGACTACTGAGTTCCCAGGGGTATCTCATGAAGGGCATGTTGTGAGATACCAAGCTCACCATTAAAAAACAAAGACAAAAAAACAGTAAACACCCCCGCTTCTTGCCTTCCTAATATTCCAGGCAGTAGTAACAACGAAAAACCAGTCACTACAGGGCCTCATTCCCTACATTAGTCTATGGGATACTGACCTTAGTTTGGTTTACAGAGGCTCTTTCAAGACTCTAAAAACAATTCACAGTATGATGAAAACAGAATTATTTATTATTTTGTTTTTCATTTTTTGTTTGTTTTGTTTTTTGAGACAGGGTTTCTTTGAAGCTTTGGATCCTGTCCTGAAATTCACTCTCTAGATAGACCAGCCTGGCCTCCAACTCACAGAGATCCACCTGCCTCTGTCTCCCCAGTGCTGGGATTAGAAGTGTGTGCCACCACTGCCAGGCTGCCTGGTGAATTTCTAAAAAATATTTTTTTATAGTCTCCTCATATTAATCCAAGCAAGGAAACACATCTTGTGTGCCTGCAAAGCTTTAAACAAATCAAAACAGTAAGTCAATTATCCAGGATTTCATATTTAAGACCAATGAACTGTAATTCCCACCTCGGAGTCTGAACTCTGAAGCTGGAAAGGTTCCTTTGCCTCTTACAGGTGAGACGGAAGAACAAGACAGTGCTCTACCTTTAATCCCAGCACTATGGAGGCAGAGGCAGGGGAATCTCTGTGAGTTAGAGACAAGCATGGCCTACAGACCGAGTTCCAGGACAATTAGGATTACCAGAGAAACCTTGTCTCGAAAGAAAAAAAAAAAAAACCTAAAAGGAAACAAAAAAAGACAGTGCTCTTTTTGACACAGAACAAATCAGCAGAGACCTAGGTTTAGCCGCACTCGGTTCTGTAAGGCCTAATATCTGAATATTGACAAGAAACAATTCTGGAGCTTAAAAAAGCTCCAGGCAGATGTTCCTGTAGGCTGACTTCATCAACTAGCTTAACACGTGAGCTACCAACATTCACTGAACATCTGTTCTGCGCCAGGTCCTTAGTGCGATCTACTCTGTTGTAGAACTCCTAACTCATTAAGCTAAACTTTATTCATACCCCTGTAATTCAGACGAAGAAGACCAGCTAGAAGAGCTTAAAATCTTGTTCGAGGCCACAGAATTAAGATGTGTATATCTGGTACTCAAACCCACGATTCTAAAAGGGAAAGAGAACGTAAAGATGGGAAACGCTGTCTTCTTGGTACCCCCACACAATAACATTCAGGGGCCGCGGGGCACTGGACTGAGTCCGTGGGTCACCTAGTTTACGCCTCACAACAGAACAAGAGGTAGAGATATAAACACTGCCTCCCCATTTGGAAACGACAAACCGAGGGACAAAGAAGTTAGGCGGTCAGAGACACATCCTTAATGGCTACCGTGCCATTAAGGAAGGAATAAAAACAAGGTGGGCCAGGATCCAGATCATTAAGTCACGGTCTTATTATGAGGCAGCCGTGGCCGAGTTGGAGCCCGACAGAACCCTCATTTTACGCTCGCGGCAGACAGGCTCCGCACGAGCGCGGGACGCGGTGACTCAGTCTCCGGCCAGCCAAGTGGGAGGACAACTTCAGACGGTCCCCAGGCTCGGAGGAGCGACTCTTGGGTCCCGCTTTCCTCGGGAGAGAGGAGCCAGCGCCCATGAATCTCCTTAAGATTCCCGATGGAGAGGTTCTCGACCACTGCGCTCCTCAGCTTCCCAGTCAGGACAATTGAGCGTCGAGGCCCACGCTTGGCTGGGAGGCGGGGGGGATGGCCTCCTTCGGTGCGGGTCTCCTAGAGGTCCGCGGTCTGAGGGGACAGCGACAGCCCACCCACGGCCGCCCCTAGCGAAGCCGCGCGAACCACGCGCGCCCACCCCCTCACCTCCTTTAGGCATCGCGGCTCCGGCGGCTGCAGCGGCGGCGGCGCCTCGAACTGACACCGGAACCGGAAATGCCTGAGGGTCGACTTCTTCCGCCCGGCCCAGTCCCTCTCCGCGCGCCGCCGCCGCCGCAAGGAACGGGGACCTCACCGAGGCCGAGCTGTCTTACGAGTTGCCTGAATTTCTGGCCTGACCGCGTGCTGCCAGGCAACAGCGCTCCCCGGTATCCCGGTCCGGGGAGACGCGTAGCTGTGCCGGCCACCCACACAGGAAGTGAGAAGAAAAGGGCCGCAGGGCTTCCGGAATTCTACAAAGGCAGCGCTCGGACACCTAAGATGACGCAATTACCGCGCGAGGTGGGCGGGGCTCCGCGAGGGCCTTATTTTGAAGAGTTTCTCGCCAGAGCGGAAGCCGTCAATAAAGAAGCGGCGGCGGTAGGTTCCTGACTTGCGGTGAGTGTTTCCTCTGTTCTCGAGCACTGTATCTTTTACAACGGTCACGGCAGAGACTGGAGTCCCTGATGACTTGGTGCCTTTATCATTCTGCACAGGGGATGGTAGATTTGGGGCTCTTTATTTCTCAGTGTTTTTGTTTTTTTTCCCCATGTCGTTTTCTCTTCCGGGACTGTTTTCTAGATAGCGCTTGTTTCTCAGATGCTGGTCTCTGAGTTTTCCCCACTCTCCTGCCCGTAACTTCCCTGTCGTTCACTTCCTTTCCTAAACAACTTTTCGTCTGTAAACTGCCCAACTCTTTCCTCCTGATAAGTTTACCTCTCTCCTTACCCGAGAGTCTCCCAAGAATACTCCTTACCCGAGAGTCTCCCAAGAATTCTCCTGGGTTAGGAGAAAGCGATTCTCTAGTTAGCCTGGGAAGCGATCAGACTGCCAATTCTCAGCTATGTGACCCTGTATTCAACAATTAAGAATTTGATCCATTTGTAATGAAAGGTGTGTGTGTAAAGTAAATTCACCATATACCGGGTGGGACTGAATACATTGGAAGAGATGATTCGGTTATGGTTACAGGTAATAAATGGCCAGCTAGAAAGCTTAATGCAATTTAAAAAGATGCGTTTAGCCTTTTAGAAACGGATTAAAGGCATGGTGGCACATGCCTTTAATCCCAGGAGGCAAAGGCAAGCAGATCTTTGAGTTCGAGGCCAGTCTGGTCAACAGAGTGAGTCCAAGGACAGCCAGGGCTATACAGTGAAACCCTGTCTTGAAAAATAAAACATGCTTTTATATTTTGACTTGCCTGCTGTTTATTATCTGTAATCTACTGCTCTCATTTTACAGAAGAGACCGAGGACCAAAGAAGAAAAGTCCTCCAAGACACAGAATAATTGGTAAATCTGGACAAGAGCACAGACTTGTAACTGCAAAGACCAGGGATTTTTATATATTCTCGTGGAAAGAGATCCGAAGGTATGGTGCTTTTTATACTCAGATTTCTCCCCCTTTTAAACTGTCATCCGTTGGGTTGGTCATTTAAAAGGCTTTCATTGTAATTGATTTTTTTTAATTAATTCTTTATGATACCTCATAAGGTAGATCTTACTAGCCTTTCTTTCTTAAGGTAGATCTTACTAACCTTTTTCTTCTCTTCCTTCCTTCCTTCTTTCCTTTTTTTTTTTTTTTTTTTTTTTTTTTTTTTGGTTTTTTTGGTTTTTGAGACAGGGCCTCTCTGTGTAACAGGTCTGGCTGTCCTGGAACTTGATTGGTAGACCAGACTGGCCTTGAACTCACTGGGATCTGTCTGCCTCTGCTCCCTAGGGCTGGGATTAAAGGCACATGCCACTGCTGCCTGACTCTTAGTATCCTTATTTCTACAGGCAAGACAACTAAAATTTAGGCTTTGGTGTCACATGGTCTACATAGACCTCAAACTTACTGTATATGAGAAGCTGGCCTTGAGCTCCTGATCCTTCTTCTTCCACCTGACATGTGCTTGGATTATAAGTGTGTGTCACCATTCTTATCTAGGGAGGAGGCTGTTTTGGGCCTTCTGGAGAATGACCTGCTGTGGGCATACTTTTGGTTTTGCATGCAAGCCAAAGTAACAAAATAAATAGCTAGGGAGAAGGGGGAGAGAGAGTAGATAGCAGAAATTAACTGGGGAAGCCACTTTAAGGCATCCAGCTGGAGTGCCCAGTAGAGTTCTGGTTATAGTGTCCACGTAGATGAGACTTACAAACAAAAAAAGGAAACAAATTTCAGTAAGTAGAGGAGATGTCATGAAACTTGCTGCTCACAACATCCAGCAGAAACTGACTGGGGAAATTGGAGCAGTCAGCTGGAGTCCCAGGTTCTCTTTTCTATTGTAGACACTGTTGTATGTGAGATAAATAATAGTAACTGTCAGAAAGAGATTACCTTCCAGCAGATCTCAAGGCCACAGTGTTTTCACTCTTGATCTGTTTTACTGTTCTCATTTCTCTGTTGTAGAGTTAGGGGGCTCATGGGGGAGCAGCCTCTCCTGGATAAGTAACTGGGTGGATATTGAGACATCTGTGCTTGGCTTTGAAATAGGGGGTGGAGAGCCACTTGCTAGAGGAGCTCAGAAAGCACATATGACCTATTGGTGTAACATGGTTACACTTTCTGAGCTTGACAGCCATAAGGAGCAGAGCTACAGTGTGGACTCAGGCAGTCTGGGTAGGTGTCCCTTCATGGAGCTACTACTGCTCTTGCTGCTTTGAGTAAATGAATGGGCACCAGGAATGGCTGCCAAGGGCTTTTGGCAATCTGAGACTCAGAGAGCACCTGACTTTCTCCTAGGTCTTTACTAGCTAACTTGCTGGGAAATGCCCAAAGTCAAAAGAAGCCGGAAAGCGCCTCCAGATGGCTGGGAGCTAATTGAGCCAACATTGGATGAATTGGATCAAAAGATGAGAGAAGGTGAGTGGATGTACTCTTGCCTGGGTATGCTGGATTGATGTGTCAAGGTTCAGGTGATTCCAAGGATAGTCTGTGAGAAGAGACTTCTTGTAAACTGGTCAAATTTTGTTGTTTACTTATCAATTTAGAATGCTTGAAAGCCCTGAAATTTAAGATAACATTAATGAAAATATCCCCCTCCAAAAAAACAAGGTGTTTCATTTCTTATTATAAAGAGGGTGTATTTGTGAAAGATCAGTTGTATTTTCCACTTCAGTGATTTGTTGGTGGCAGGTTCTCACTGTAAATTTTTTCATTGTTTTTGAGATAGAGTCTCTACATACCTTTATCTGTATTAGACCTGTATAGATTAGGCTGGTCTTGAACTCATGAAGAGCTGCCTTCCTGTGCCTCCCAAGCACTGAGATTAAAGGTGCACCACAATGCCCAGTTTACTCTGTAGCTTTTTCTTTTCTTTTTCCTTTTTAGATTCATTTTACATCGGGGAAGGGGGTATATGTATGTACAGGTACCTGGGGAGGCCAGAAGAGGTGTCAGATCCCCTAAAGCTGGCGTTGAAGGCGTAGTGAGGCATTCTGGCATGGGTGCTGGGAACAGCTCCATTATGAAGTATTTTTATTCCTGCTTTTTTCTCTCCCCTTTTTGAGATACCCTGAAGCTTTGACTGGCCTGGAACTCTGCTATGTATTCATCTTTTTTATGGGTCTTTGAAAATCTTTTTTAGGCCTTGGTCTTTGCACCATGTAGTAGTTTCTACAACACACCACCATAGTAATCTTGACTTTGGGCATCCTGGCAATCACCTTGTCTTTGGAAATTTTATCTGCAGCATATGATAGCCCTTGGTGAGCACAGTATGTCCTAGTTTGATAGCTGTTACTGTGATAAAACACTCTGACCAGAAGCAACAAGAGGTAAGAAAGGTTTCATTTGGCTTAGAATCCCAAGTTACAGCCTGTTACTGAGGGATGTCAAGGCAGAAACTAAAGCCCACATCCACAGTCAAAAGCAGAGAACAGGGCTGGAGAGATGGCTCAGTGATTGAGCACTGGCTACTCTTGCTGAGGACCCAGGTTCATTTCCCAACACCCACGTGCCTGCTCACAACTGTTTATAACTCCAGTTCCAGGAGATCCAGCACCTCTTCTGACATCCATGGGCACCAGGTGCACATACATAAATGCAGACAAAACACTCATATACATAAACTAAATCTAAGAAACTTAAAAAAAAAAAAAAGTAAATGCACCCCTGCTACTTGCTCAGTATAGTTCAACTCTTACACAGTTCAGGCCACACACATGCTCACACACACAGAATGGTGCCCCTATTCAGAATAGGTCTTCTACCTCAGGCCAATTTGATCTAGCTCATTCCTCAATCGAGGCCCTTTAGGTGATTCTTAGTTCTGGCAAGGTGATAATTAAAAGCCATCCTGTGGTACGACTACTTGATTTGTTATTTGTGTGTGTGTATGTGGTGGGGTGTGGCATGTGAACGGTGTATGTACAAATGTACAGGTTAGAGCACAACTTAACAGGAGTCAGATTCAATTTTATATGAGTGTTTTGCTTCATGTGTACCATGTTTGTGCCTGGTGTTTGCAAAGGCCAAAGAGAGAGGCATTGGATCCCTGGAACTGGAGTTAGTTATGATATGAGCTGCCACTTAGGTGCTGGGAATAGAACCTGGGTTCTTAACCTCAGTGCTCTTAACCACTGAACCACTTCTCCAGCCCCCCCTTGAATTGCTATATAAAACAATCTTTGAAATATCTGTTTACAGCTAATCTGATCATTGTTATTATGAGATCAGGCTTGCAGCTACTGTTAACTTTGCTTTCTCTTTTCACAACTGGTTGCGCCAGTTTCTGTTAAATACCCAGGACTTGTAGTAGTCAAGGTTGCTATGGGTCAAGAGATTTCTTAACTCATTTCTATGAAAGTAAAGGAAATTAGAATGTGGATAAAAAGAGTCTGTTTTCATCTCTCTTTGATGTGTGCTCTAAACTCATGGTAACTATTTAACTTCTTGGGGAATTGCCAGGCATTTCCTACACCATTCTGTATTCTGCTAGAAGGGCTTGAGGATTCCAGTTTTTTGTTTACTGTTGTTAATTGTCCATTGTTTTCATTACTATCCCCGTGGATATAAAATAATCATAACTAGTTAAGGAAGCAAACATGCTATGTACTATGCAGACTGACTCTCCTAAAACACACACATGCTTTTTTTCTCTCTAGCTGAAACTGAACCCCATGAGGGAAAGAGGAAAGTGGAATCTCTGTGGCCCATCTTCAGAATCCATCACCAGAAAACCAGATATATCTTCGACCTCTTTTACAAGAGGAAAGCCATAAGTAGAGGTAAGTGTTACCTGGCGAAATACCTTGACCTTTAAAAAGCTATTATTATGTTCACATACATGTAGCATTCCTAAAGGAGTTGATTCTCTTCTTTTGTTATGTGGGTCTGGGCAAGCGAACTCAGGTCATTAGGTCTGTATAGAAAGTACTCTTGGCCTTTGAGCCATCTTGTTGACCCTCTTGACTTGAGTGGTTTTCAGAATTTATATGGTGGTTCATAAAAAGCTGGGTGTCACTAGGTCTGATGGCACACACTTTTAAACAAGCATTTGGGAAGCAGAGGCAAGTGGTTGTCTGAATTCAAGGCTAGCCATTTCTACAGAGCAAGTTCCAGGACAGAGAAACTATCTCTTTAAAAAAAAAAAAAAAAAAAAATGCTTCAAGAAAAAGCTGTGTTATCGTTCAAACCTATACTTTCAGCACTTGGGAAGCAGAGTCAGGAAAACTGTTGGGAGTTCCATGCAAGCCTTGGCTGTAATGTGAGATCCTGACTCCAGAAACAAAGATTCTTGTCTTTGCAAACTCAACAAGCATCAGTTTTCTTATCACTGATGAAGAAATTATGTGTGTTTGTGTGCAATTTAAATAAAAACAAATAAAAAAAACAAAGTTACACTAAGTAGCCCTGGCTGGCTTGGAACTTAAATAGACCAGACTGACCTCAAATTAACAATGCTATCTACTGGCCTCTGCTATATTCTGGGATTAAAGGCCTCTGCTTGGTTTTTCCCTTTTTTTTTGAGGCAGGATCTGGGTAATCAACTCTCATAGAACTCAATTTGTAGACCATGATGGCTTCAAACCAGAGAAATCTTCCTGTCTGCCTCCCCAGTTGGAATCAAAGGCTGATACCACCAAACCCAGCTTAATTTTCCTTTTAGTCCAGGGTGAAGCAGGTTTGTTGTACCATGTTCTGATGCCTTGTCCCTGCCTTTCTGACAGAACTCTATGAATACTGCATTAAAGAAGGCTATGCAGACAAAAACCTGATTGCAAAGTGGAAAAAGCAGGGCTACGAGAATCTGTGCTGCCTCCGCTGCATTCAGACTCGGGACACCAACTTTGGGACAAATTGCATTTGCCGGGTTCCAAAAAGCAAGCTAGAAGTGGTAATGTCTGATGGCTGGACGGGGAATTATTTTCTGTTTAAAGTTCTGCTATAGTTGACCATAAGGGGTATTATTTCGGGAAGTATTTTTGTCATTGGAAGCCTGCTAGCCCTCCCTCCCAAGAGTCCTCCTGATCAGAGATCCTTGCTAGCTGGAATCTGGTGGTCATTCTGAGATGAAAGGCTGGTCTCAATACTATCTATGGACAGATAACTGGACCAAGCCTCATTTCTTATGGAGAAGTAATGGCAGTAGCTACATTGGGGTGACCACTAGGCAACATATCCCTTTCCCGCTAGTCTCATGGTAACATTAATCTCAGCATGTAATCTGTCAAAACTTTGTTCCAAAGCCAGGAGTAATGCCTTTGGGAGGTTGAGACCAACTTGGAATAAGATCATGTTTCAAAATCAGGGCTAGGCTAGGCACCTAGCAGTGGTGTTGGTAGTGGCTGAGCTCCAGTCCCCAGACCCCTTGAAATGGAACACCAGGCCAAATAGACCATCCATTCACCTTGACCTTTGTTTTCCCTCATTACATACATCAAAGCAAGACTTAATTTCCAGTTTTTATTTGGTGCAGATGGCCTCAACTCAGTAGGCAGCTCTGTCCTCTGTGCCAAGGATGGACTCTGGTATAGATGTGCCAAGCCATGGCTACTGATTGATGGCTGCTTCCCAAGACGAGGCTCTTAAGTGTTCCAGCCTCTAGATTGTTGCTCAGTAGGTAGATGGCTACCTGGTATGCATGAAGCCCCGGTTCCATCTCTAGTGCCCCGTAGAACCAGATGCGGTAGTCCACATCTGTGTATTAGCACTTAGCAGCTGTTTGCAGGGCCAGAAATTTAAGGTCATCCTTCATGAGACCGTGTCTCAAAGATTTAGCAGAACTTTACCAGAGAACTTTATTTGCTTAAAATTAACTCTTATTCTCCAGAAAAGAAAGATAGCATTGCTCCAGTCCCACAGCCAGCCACTATGCCCTTGGGATAGTTCTGGCCATAGGAAGTGTACACCTTTTCTCCCAGTGTCCTCAAGAACTCAGCCCCCCCTAGGCAGTAGCAGGCTGACCAGGAAAATAAAAAGGCTGGCTTAAGTTAGGTGGTCACACAACTTTAATTTTAGCACTGGGGAAGAGGCAGCTGGATCTCCTTAAGTTCAAGGCCAGCCAGGACTGTTAAACAGAGAAACCCTGTTTCAGAATACAAAACAAGGCTGGCTGGTGTGTCTTGTCTTAATGTAACTTTGGGCTGGTAGCAGCTGTTTCCATTTTCACAAAAGAGCTAAAATACCCAAATGGAGCTCTGGTAAAGATGTCCTGCAGGGAGTGTTCCAGCAGCACCTGTACAGCAGGTTCCCATAGGTATGTGCAGGGCTGTAGCACTGCATACAAATGTCTCCATCTTCTGTTACAGGGTCGCATCATTGAGTGCACGCACTGTGGTTGCCGGGGTTGCTCTGGCTGACACCTTTGACTCCTCTACATTCTGGACTTTGGACCTTGTTGGCTCCTGCCTTATTGGGCTACCCCCCTCCTGGAGCAGCTCTTCTCAGAGTGGTGCCCAGAGAAGAGACCCAGAGGGAACATGGGCTCTACAAGTGAAGGCTTCACTAGCTGAAATCTGTAAAAATAAAACCTTTAGACCTCTTGGCTATATTCATTCTTTAAGAGCAGCAGGCTAAATGTCATAGACACTGTATGACCCAGAGCATAAAATTTTCTCACCAATGATGGGGAGGGCAGCCCAGGCCCAGCATTTGTCCTCACACCTGTGTCTGAAAATTGCTGCTGTGCCCTAGGAAGGTGATACCAGCACTGTGAAAGCTGGGTACTTGTCATAGCAGTACACTTCATCACCTGTCCCTAAGGTCTCCACTGATACCAGCATTCCCAGTGGTGTCTTGGTTCCCCTTAGGCTTGGTCTGGAACTCCTGCCAAGGGTGTGGGGCTTCCTCTGCTGGCATCACTTTCAGCCACTGCTTGTAATAAGCTCGAAAGCCATCGATCTTCTCCAAGTAGACGTTTTTCCCCTTGTACTGTAATTAGAAATGTACAAAACTATGTCAAGGTAAGTGACATACAGGGATGAAAGCTTCACTATGAAACCTATCACTTTGTAATGAATCCAGAATACACTGAGAAAAGCAGGGAGTTCAGAAATGTTCTCAGCCAAGCCAAACCACTACATGTCACCTAGAGCTAACCACCATAGTAGGTGACCCTGACCCCTGCTCTTCTTTCTTCAAAGAGACTACAGTGGACAGGTTAGAAAAATGAACATTAGGTTCACTGCTGTGAAGAGCCAAGTTCTGTAAATCTGATGTATTTGGGTGTAGGAAAGATTGCCTTTTGCATAACAGCCATTTATTCTAAGAGCACTGTAGTACTAAACCTGTGGAGGTCACCTCAGCCCCACAGCTAGAACTGAGGTATCCCATCAACTCCACCTGTTTTGCTGAACTGTTGCCCTCCTGACCTACCAGCTTGGACTACTACAGCATCTCCTTGCAGAGAGGAGAGCTGTGATGAGTTTGAAACAGCTGGCAGGAGCTACATAGGAAAAATAGTTCAAATCAAAAAAGGAAGAGGAAAAAAAAAAAAAAAGACCCTGCTAAAATGTAATGTTAAAAGTTTGTATTTAAAAAGATTGAGCTGGACATGGAGGTACATGCCTTTAATCTCACACTTGGGAGGCAGAGGCAGGTAGATCTTTAAGTTTGAGGTCAGTGGGGTCTACAAAAATGCCAGGACATCCAAGGCTACACAGAGAAACCGTGTCAAAAATAATAAAAAGATTCATTGTGCTGAGGAAATGATGACAAATTCACTCTAGAACCCATGCCTCATGCTATAATCCCTCTGTTAGGGAGTGAGACAGGAGACAATAGCCAAGTCTAGCCAAACAGATGAGCTCCAGTTTCAGGGAGACCCTGTCTCAGAAAGTAAGTCTGAGAGTGACAGAAGGCTTTAAGTGGTCTTAGGTCCTCAGTTGCACCTAATGCCTTTCTCTCTGCACTAAGTAGACCACCCCCTGGCAAGACATTTACAACATGGAGTTGAAAAAAGTCTAGGGGCTGGAGGGATGGCTCGGCAGTTAAGAGCACTGGCTCCTGTCCTAAGGACCTGGGTTCTGCTCCATACACCCACAAGATGGTAGACAACTCCAGTTCCAAGGGATCTGGCCTACTTGGGCACTGCACATACACTGTGCACAGACACCCAAGAAAATACCTATACACCTTTTTTTTTTTTTTTTAAAGTGGCCCACAGATGCTCATACGCCTAATGCTTGGCACAGTCTGCCCCTGATGACCAACTCATTCTTACTCAGCCTTCAAAATGTCACTCAAGTGCCACACATGGGAGCCTGAAATGTCTCCTTCCCATCTGGTTTGTGTCCTAAGCCACAGTTACCACTCATGCTCTGGAAAGAGCACAGGGCCTGACTCAACAGAGACCCAAACCAAAGGCCAGAAGCCCCAAACCAAAAGCCTGATGTCTCTGAAGGGGGGGAGCATATGTAGTTGTGTAGTAGACTTTATCAAATTGTATCATTTGCGGTGTGTCTGCCCACCCACTGAACAGTTCAGTACTGAGCACCAAACAACATGCAAACACTGGGAAACCAGGTGAGCAAGGCAGTCTCCACCCTTCTAAGCCTAGGTGGTTCGGTGAAGCCAAGAACTGTGTGAACACAGTACACCATGGCATCACAAGACTGTGGGGGATGGGAGGCATATCTGCGAAGGGCTACTTAAGCTGGACGTGACAGTACACAGCTGTAATCAGCACTAGTGAGAGATGCAGGCAGGACAACCAGTAGTTCATGGCCAGCCTGAGTAACCCGAGACTGCTTCAAAGTAAAAAGTGGGCTGGAGAGATGGCTTAGTGGTTAAGAGCACATACTGGTCAGTTCCCAGCATCCACACCAGGCAGCTCACAACCTCCTGTCAGCTCCAGGGGATTCAATGTGGCTCAGGGCCTTGGGTTCTTCTTAAGGAAAACTGCTGAACAACTTTCAACAAGGAAATGAATGTCAAGCCTCCAAGGACAAAACCACAGCAGCTAAGATAATGATGAGCACTGTAGTGTTGGCGCACATACCCGGTCAAAGGTGGGAGGGTACTCAGCAGCAAACTCTAGCTGACGGATGATGACTTCATTCACTGGGACACTGTTCCGCCTCATGTCCTTCAGGATATCAATGAGATAGGCATAGTCCAGCTTCTTGAGGGCCGCATTGATGAGAGTGCTATAGATGTGGGTATTAGGGGCCATCTGGGATTTCTAGAACACAGACATCAATCACATGGTCAGCAGGATGACGGTGGTTGGTCGGACAAAGCAGTCTACTGTGCCAGGTCCATAGACAGTCTGCTCCACAGACTAGGCACCAGGAACAAGAAGATAGGATCATGCAACAACTGGCTGTCTAACCCTGTACAAAAGCAAGTAGGTCCTATCGCCTCAGCCCTGAAGAATTTGGGGAGAAAGACTGCTACTTGGGGGGGGGGGGTCAACAGACAGGAAATGAGATGTAAAATATCTCCTCACTCTTGGCTGTAGTTTATTGGTTAACAGTGCCATCACCACAGGGTGGTAGAATGTGTGGACACAACTTGGTCCTTGGAAATGTCCACTGCTGGGGTTGGTTGGAATCAACTTAGCAAGCACTTATAAGCAGGCCAGAGAGAATGCATGAGAGTAAGCCATGGCTGAAAATTATCCTTTGCTCCCCCTCCTGCCTCCAGCTTCTCGTCCATCTCTCTTCTGGGCATAGCTCCCATCCCTCCATGGCAGCCAACAGCATCTTCAAGATGAAAACACACTTTATTCTGTAGGTCAGTCAGTTTCTACAGTGGCTCACAGAATTTGCTTGTTCCAAAGGGGGCCATGGCCATTCCTGCTCCTTACTCATTTGATCCTGCTGGGTCCCATTTTCCACACAACTTTCTTCCTAAGAACTCCCAGCGTTCTCCCAGAACCATAGGCATCCTGTTTGAGCTTGGGCCTCTCACCTTCATGTCTGCAAGCAGCTGCATACCATCCTTGGGCTTACGGCACCCAATGGCCAGGTTGCAGAAAGTCCGCAGATTGGGAACAATTCCCTTCTTTGCCAGGATTGGCAACAGCGCCTGTAGGACAGACATGCTGCTTTACCTGAAACCCACAAGCCCTGGCCAGATGTCCTGATGAATACCTCAGCTGACTATATGCACTCAAATGGTTTCCCTGCTCAGCACTCAAGATTCCATGCCCCTTTGCCACAAATGTCCTTCCTGTTTCTGCCTTTCCTATCCTGTGTTTTAACTCCTCGGCTGCCTATCCCTGTACAGGGCCAAGGAGCCAGGAGCTCCTGATGCAGAGCAGGAGGAAGCGCCGCCCACTATGGGAGTAATGGCTGAGGGAGCCCCAGGCCTGGTGTGGAAAGAGGGTACCTTTCAGTCTTGGGAGGGTTCTGGAGAAAGGTGTCCTCTGCACTGTGACCATTTCTCTGTCACCTCTGACCCTCACAGATGCCCAGGGCACTGCTTCTGTCAGAGCACATTACGTAAAAAGTGACATCCCCTGAAATTGGAGTTACAGATGGTTGTGAGCTGCCATGTAAGTGCTAAGAATCAAACCCAGGGCCTCTAGAACAGCAGTGTTGTTAACCACGGACGCCTCTCTCCAGCCCTATTCCTGAGCACGATTATGTACCCCTTCTCAGTGTAGTGACATGATGGGCCTCTTGGAACCAGGTATCCCCAGCATGTCCCTTCTCCATGAATGCCCTTCATACTCCTCCTCTGTGTGTTAGAGCTGTGGTGCAGCTGACTGGTTTGTGGTTCAATTCCTAGCTTCACATAAGGCCAAGCCTAGAGCAGGGGTTCTAGATCTATCTGCTGACTGCTGAGCTACATCCTACAATCTGAGGTCAGAGGGGGAGGTCCCCAGTAGACAGTGTCTTACCTTCGCTCCCTCCAGGTCTCCCAGCTTGGTCTTCTTCCTAATCAGTGTGTTGAAGAAGGTCACATCGGCCTCTACCTCATACCTATCCAGGATGGTCAGCAGTGAGGACTCTGCAGGGCTCCCAGGTTCCACCACCTCAGCCAGTAGAGTGAGGGTTTTGATGTCTGGCTGGAGCCCGTGTTCTGCCATTTTGCCCAGGAAGCCCTCCAGGCCCCCTATCAAGGCCAGCCTATCAGCAGGTGTGGCCACTGTCCCAAAGGAGATTACAGTAGGGGAGAGAGTCCCAAGACTCAGGATATTGACTTCCAACTCCAAGGGGGGAGGCTTCAGGGCCAGTGGGGTGTGGGCTGCTATGTGGCCAGGTTCTTCTGCCTTAGTTTCTGCCTCAGGCTGGGACCCGCTTGTTAACACAGTCTCAGGGAAGTCTGGAGGCCTCTCAAGTTCCTGAGGTTTCAGAAACAATTGCCTCTCCAATGCCTCCACATGTCTAAATGACACACCGTCCTTTGCCTTGGTCTGGCCTTTCCTCCCTGCCTGAGGCCTGCCCGCTGGGGGCTGAAGCAGGATGGTCTCCCCCTGAGGCTTCAGAAGCAGCCTGGAGGCAACCTCTGGGTCCCCTAGACCACAGTCTCGAGCTGCCCCCAACAAGAGGTTGTAGCCATGCCTAGTTGGTTTGATCCCCAGACTCAGCATCTGTCGCCACACCTGCAGGAGAAACAAATATTAGCAACATGTTCCTGCCTCCTATGAGCCTTCAGTGGAAGTAGGTGCTATGAATTAACAGACCAGCAAACTCACAAGGCACAAGAAAGCTGGAGTAGCTCTGTGGTATAGCAACTGCCTAGTATGTGTGAAGCTGTGGATTAAAACCCTAGCACCACAGAAAGAAAAAGGAAAACACTGCTGTGGATGTGACTCAGGGTATGGAGACCTAGGTTCAGTCCCTGTGAAGCTAGCCTATAGATAGCCCCAGGTAGAAGGATCAAGAGATTGGGGGAGGACTAGCAAGGTGCTGGTCACCAAACCTGAAGACTCAAATTCAATCCCTAGAATCTACGTGATAAAAGGAGAGAACTGCCCCGAGGTGGTGGAGCACACCTTTAATCCCAGCACTGGGGAGTCAGAGGCAGGTAGACTCTGAGTACAAGGCCAGCCAGTTTCAGGACAGCTGGAGCTATTACACTGAGAAACCCAAACAAAGTCACAGCTCTTTTCGTGTGTGTGTGTGTGTGTGTGTGTGTGTGTGTGTGTGTGTGTGTGTGTTGCTGTTGTAAATGGGTATGTGCATCTGTACATAAGCAGAGGCGAACATCAGGCGTCCTGTTGTTGTGTGTGTGTGTGTGTGTGTGTGTGTGTGTGTGTGTGTGTGTGTGTTTGTTGCTGTTGTAAATGGGTATGTGCATCTGTACATAAGCAGAGGCGAACATCAGGCGTCCTGTTGTAGCACTCTCTGCCTCATTCACTGAGATAGGGTCTCTCACTCAACTTGGAGCTAGGGTGGCAGCCAGCAAGACCCAGCAATCCTCATGTCACTGCTGGGCCTCAGCCATCTTTTTGCATGAGTTCTAGGGATTTGAACTTAGGTCTTCACATGTTTATACAGCAAGTGTTCTTACCTACTGAGTCATCTCCCTAGCCCTAAACCCCAGCTTCTAGTGGGTATGAGAATCTTGGGTAATAAATGTCTGTGAGCCTCAGTTCTCTCACCTGTAAAAGGGGGCTGACAGTACCTCGAAGAAGCAGTCTAGGAAGTATGCAACACAAATAGGCCATTAGTATCGACAGGTTCATTCTACACTTTCTTCACATCATGATACTGCTTCAAATTCTTTGTAGAGGGGACAGAACCTTGTGGTCTTGGGTTGTTATTCTGCAAAGTGACTGGGAAGCTTCCTGAAATGCATATCTGGACACAGGATATTTGGACAGGGCTGCTGCCAAGCTGCGGTGGACACATTAGGCAGCAGAGCTTGGGAAAATAAGACAAAAAAACATCCCTGGTAGCAACACCAACACCCACTCCCCACATGATGAGGGGGTTTGGTTACCTCTGGGGGATGGATCTGAGATGGGATTAGACTATATATCTCACTTTGGGACTAAGTGTACATTCCCGGGTTACCCCTGTAGAGATGCTAAGTAGAGAAGGAGCCCAAGAGATGGGCTGAACACACACCCCAGTGAATGTACTGTAATGGTGTCCACAAAATGGAGAAGAGGACCCATAATGATTACCAAGAAGGCCTCCCACCCCACCCCCAACAGTGATTACCATGAAGGCCAGATGACAGCAGGTATATAGAAAACACCTGACACAGTGGGCTGAAGAGAAGGCTCAGTGGTTAAGAGTGCATATTGCTTTTAGAGGACCTGAATATGGTTTTCAGCATCCATTTCAAGTGGCTCACAACGGCTATATAACTCCAGCTCCAGGTGAACCCTTTCTGGCTTCCTGCACACATACATACAATTTAAAAACAAGAACCAAACAAAGATAACCCTGGCATCGGGGGCAGGGCAGAAAGGCAAGACTGACCTGTACAGCTTGCCGGAAGCCTGACTTCTTGTCCTGGATGCAGCCCATGAGCAGGAAACAGAAGGTCTCCTCTGTGACAGCATGCCCCTTGTGGATGATTTCCTGGGTGAGAGAAGAAGGCAGTTTCCCTCAGAACCTACAGCAAGGCCCAGACCAGGTGGTGTCTGACTTAGTTCAGTACAGGTCCATGTACCTCTAGGGAACAGGTGCCTGGATGCAGCTTTGGGACCAGTTGAGTTGGAACCAGCTCCCCAGTGAAGTATTTAACTACTTCCCTGCTACCTCCAGGCCTATCTTCCCAGCTCTGCTCTCAGAGTCAGCAGCATCTGCAAAGCTGACCCCAACAGCCTCTGTACTGAGGTCCTAGAATCATATGACTGGTTTCCAGACCCACCACCAGCAGCAGCCAACTATGGGCATAGGTAAGGACAAGGCTCTGAGCTTCTCAGCCTCAGTTCCCTCATCTGTGCAAGAATGCACCTTCTAGGACATCTGAACAAACATTCAACCAAGTAAGATAGGTCTGTACAGGGTGAGTACAATCCTCGCCAGCCTCTTCAGTGTTAAGCTGGGCAAGTCCTCCTGAAAGACACTCCTACCTCTCAGAAACTCCTGTCCTTTCACTCTCACTGGGAACCCCCTCTCCACCAGCACCATCTTGCTCTCTTGCCTACAGCCCACCACTGTCTGACCGAGGCCATAGAAAGTAAGGTTGTGTTGGATTCGTATGTGAATCCCAACGTAAAGCATGAGCTGTCTCAGCTTTTGTGAGTATTCCAGGTGAAGGGAGGCAGGTGATCTCTCTCTCATACACTGGGCCTGACTTTGAAAAGCAGGAAGAAGGGGAGTCCCAACCTTGAAGACATCAAGGCACATCTTGAGGTCTGCACACTTGGCAGCCACCTTCAGCAGGGCATGATATGTTTTCAGGTTGAGCTGCAAGTTTCTGGCCCGGAGCTGCTGTCGGAGCTTCAGTGCACTCTGCAGGGCAGAGTCCTTCCAGGGGGACTCCGCACAGACATTGAATAGAGCTGTGTATGTGGCGTCCGAGGGCTCCAGATCTCTCTTCTTCATCTGTTGAGATGGGAGAAAACTGAAGGAGGTCCTAGGAGAAGCTGGATATCGGGATCACAGCCACTTAAAGGACCTCAGAGCGGTCTGTTAACAGATCCAACTACCACAGGAGCTAAGATTGACCCAAGTGGCACCTCATATCCAAACTGCTGACTCCACCTGGGAGACTATGAAAATTGAGCCTGCACTCTTGGAAATGTCAACAAGAAACCATCCTCCTGGGGCACTTGAAAGATTATTCTAGAGCTGGTGTATTTTATCTGATGGCTCTATCCTGAGGCCTGACCAGCTCACACTGACTGTCCATGGGGCACAGAATGGGTCTGTTCTGGGAAAAGGGGAACAGTGCTCACTGAGAGCTCATGAACCAGTGAACTCTCCTCACAAACCAAGGATGATGTCATTCAGAAAGATTAGTACAATCATTCTTTTAGATTAAAATGTCCTTTTAGAAGTACAGTTTTGTCTGGTATCTGGCATCTTAGCACTCAGGAGGCAAAGGCAGGCATGAATTCAAGGCCAGCCTGATCTACATAGTGCGTTCCAGGTCAGCCAAGTCTACACAGTAAGACTCTCAAAGAAACAAAACAAAAAAGAAGTGCTGTTTGCTCTGGCCACAGACTGTGAGGACTCGGGTAGTACACCAAATAAGAGGACTAGCGTTAGCAAGAGTCTGCTGAAGTAAGAATTCCCTTTGCTTCTGGCCCCAGGAGAAGATAGGTTGTCTCTTGTTTGAGTCTACAGTTGTCCTGTGTAAAGCTCTTTCTTGATTCATGAATGAAACAGGAGCAGGGTTTGTGTGTGACAATTGTTGGGACTAACTGGGCATGGTAGCAGAGAAATAAGGGGACACATGGGTTTTTAGCAGCCCAGGCACATGATGATGCATGTCTCTGTCACCTTGCTTAATTCCCCAAGAAGAACTCAACTTGGATTCAATGTCAACAAACTTATGTCATCTGCCCACAATGATTATGCTCAGGATCTACACCCAGCATGCACTTCAGAGCCTTGACCCTAGTCATCTGACCCACACTCACATCATTATAGAGCCTGAAGGCCTTCTTCAGGTAGCCGGCGCGCCCACAGCCCCCAATCAGCACCGTATAGTTGCACTCCAGAGGCTGCAAGCGCTCCTCCTTCAGCATCTGCCTCTCAAACAGATCCAGGGCCTCTGCCAGCTAGGGGAAGAGCCAACAAGAGAGAGGACTCAGGATGGTTTCAGAGACTTTTAGCAAGCCAGGGAGAGTGGGGCATACATTAGACAAGAGGATCAAAACCATTCTAGGCTACACGGTATGTTTCAGTACAGCCTGGAACTCGTAAAATATTGTCCCAAAACAAAGGAAAACCTCAATAAAAATAAAAGACCCCCAGAAGAGGGTGGAAAGGTAGAGGGACCCTTCTGACATGACACAGGACAACAGCTCCCTCCAACTGCAACTTCTGCCCAAAACAACCTTTACCCCATCTCTAATTTCCTACACTGTCCTGTCCCTTAGTTTACCACCAGGTGTGATGGCACACAAAATAAGCTGGGTATAGTGGCACATGCTAGGTAATCCCAGCACTCAAGAAGCTGAGACAGGAAGATTATGAGTTTTAAGTGAGTACCAGTCAGCCAGGGCTGCACAGCAATACAGCCTTGAAAGAATGGTACAACTATTAAAGTAAGTTTGAGCTGGCCACAGTTCAGAGGTCAAGTTGTTATAAGAAAAAATCATGACTGAAGGAAATGTGATACAGTCAAAAAAGACTGTGGGATTGCCATGTAGTGAGTTAAAGATAGCTAGGGGGCTAGCAATATGGTTCAGCAGATACAGGCGCTTGCAGTGTGAGCTTAGTGACCAGAGTTCGATCCCTGGGCCCCACATAAAGATGAAAAAGAAGAAGCAGCTCTACCAAGTTGTCCTCTGGCGTCTACATGTGCACCATGGCACAAACATTCACACATGCACAAAAACACTAATAGGGATCCAAGGACTGAGCACTGAACACCCCAACTCCAACAACTGAGAAGGCTGCACTGCCTCACATAAAAGGCCAACCCAGCAGAAAGGAAAACCCCAAGGATCCCGGACCTTTCCTTCCTTGATCAGACGTTTGCACTGGAAGAAGTACCAGTAGGGAGTATTCCTCCGGCCCTGCCATGGTTTGGGCTCCAATTCTTCCTCCTCATCACCCTGCTCCTTGAGCTGCAGGTTATACAGCTGAGCTGTGGATTTGTGGAAGAGTCTCCGGGAGGAGTACTTGTCAGACAGGGTCCCAAAGCTCTCTTCGTCATCCTCTTCCTCCTGAGGAGCCACAGTGCCGAGCTCACTGGAGTCAGAGCACAGGCTGCTCATGTTCTGGCTCCCTTGCCCCAGGGACAGGTGGGAGAAAGAGCTGCAGAAGGCCGTTGACACCTGCCAATGTGGCCATGCCGCCCTCAGCTGTGCAAGTCCCTCCTTGCTTCCTGTCCATCGGGTAGAGCCAAGAAGATCCAAGTGTTGAAGAACAGACAGTCCTATGGGGTAGGGACCAGAAAAGAGCCGGGAAAGTCTCATGAGGTCTACCACTGGCCTTTTTGTGCCACCACAGCCTGAAACAAATCAAGAAAAACAAGGAAGTCACATCAGCCTCAGTGGAAAACTTGGAAAGATGAGAGTAGTTACAAGGGTGGCTTTGAGTTAGGAAGGCCTGGCTCAGGCTGGGGATGGGGAGTGGGAGATAATCTCAGCACTTGGTGGGTGGAAGAGAATCAGAAATCCAAGGGCATCCTCAGCTACATGTCAACTTCAAGACCAGACTGGGCTTCTTGAGATTGTCTCAAAGTAATAAAAGAAGAGAGCCAGGTGTGGTAGCACACGCCTTTAGTCCCGGTGCTTGGGAGGCAGGAGGACTTCTATGAGTTCAAGGTCAGCCAGGTCTACATAATGAGTTCCAAGCTAGTCAGGGCTACAGAGATCCCTGATTCAAAAACAATAACAAAGAGGGCCTGAGCCTGTGTCAGCAGATAAAGGTCACGCTTGATGACCTGGATTAGATCCCTGAAACTACTTAGTAGAAGCTGTGGTGTAAATTGTTCTCTGACCTGTACATAGAGGTGTGCTGTGCAATGAATATATATGCCTATGCACAAACAAATACGTCTATGTGTTTAAAAAAAAATTCGCAGGAAAGCCGGGATGTCGGTGGTGCATGCCTTTAATACCAGCACTAAGGAGGCAGGGGCAGGAGGATCTCTGTGAGTTCGAAGCCAGCCTGCTCTACAGAGGAAGTTCCAGGGCAGCCAAGGCTACACACAAAATTCATGGCTCCTGCTTCCCGGAATGCACCACCACCGCCAGGCTCAGGATAAACACTTTGAATCCAGCTCTATTAGGAGGTTGACTCTCCCTCCAGAGTCTCACGTAATCCAGGTTGGCCAGGAACTTTTGATTTCCCGCCTCTACTTGTCACTTACTAGGATTACAAGTATGCACCAACACTCCCGGTTAATACGGTGCTAGGGCTCGAACCCAGAGATTGGAGACAACCACTTAGCCAACTGAGCCACATCTCCAGCCTCCTTGCCTGAGTTTTAAAATCTCTGAATTAGAGATACGCAGAAGCTTTCTACTCGTAGGGGGACCTGGGACCCTCGGGTCGCCCCTGCCTCCTCTCCCCAGGCCTTCAGAGCCTGGGCTTTCTCATATGACCGACGCCCTCGGGTCCAATTTCGGCCGGGTTCCCGGGATTCCTACGAAGGTTAAACAGGAACTCACTCGGAGTGTCCGGCGCAGGGAGTCCCTGTGAGGCGTCCTCAGCGTCGCAGGGTTTCGGGCCGAATCACCTTTCCTCTCTTCAGCACATGCGCCAGAAAACCCGCGCAGGCGCACTTTGCGTCGCCGCCTTTCACATTCTTTTTGATTGCTGACCAAAAGAGAAGAGCGTTCGGCTAGCGGCTAGCCAGGCCTGAGGGAGCGGCAGAACTCCGCGCTCTATTGTTTGAGTCTGATAGGGGGAGGAAAGGACCGGCGCGGGCTTGGGAGCTCCCGGCATCCCTTGCGGGGCGGCGGCGGCGGCGGGCGAGAAGGAGAGGACGGCGGAGAGCGCTGTGAGTTGGGGAGGGCGGCTAAGAGACCTGAGTGGGAGTCGGGCCGGAGGCCGCCGCCGCCGCCATGCAGGAAATCATCGCCAGCGTGGACCACATCAAGTTCGACTTGGAGATCGCCGTGGAGCAACAGCTGGGGGCGCAGCCGCTGCCCTTCCCTGGCATGGATAGTGAGCACTGGGCCCGGCGGGTGGGCGACGCCGATTCTAACCAGGGTCTTCCCAGCCTAGAGTCGCGGGACCCTCACCCTCGCCCAGCTCCTCCTCTTCCGTCCTGGGACGTTCCCTTGTCACTTGAACTCTGGAGTCCTTTCCTTGGATCCTTGATCCCCGGGGACTGCTCCCTGGCAATCCTCGGGACAGCAGGACTGTGTCAGTTGTTCCAGTAGTTCTTCAGTGAACGCGTGTTGTCCTGAAGTGAACTCCTGTCTCCCTGCTCCAACTAGAGCAAAGCCCGAGAATGCCTGCCTCCACCTCTTTGAGCGCTTCTTTCTTACTTTCGTCAGAACTGGGCGGTTAGTAGACCTTCATTCCAGGTTGCTTGAGTTTTGTCTTAGTCCTGGGATCTCCTCCCCTGTCCTGGAATTTCTTTTTTTTTTTTTTTTCTCACTATTCCACCTCCGGGTCTCTTGTCCCAACACAGTTCCCTGGGGGAATCCTTCTCTCTACTGTCCCTCTTTAGATGCTGATGGTTTTCCTATGCTGGTGGGATGTCTTCGTTTTAGGGGAGCCGCTCCAATTCCGACTTAATCTGTCTTTGGCCAGGTCGTTCTTGCACACACACCATGTCCACTCTTAAACAGTAGGCGTTTGCTTGACTTGATGCCACTACCTTGAGACTATGGGACAGCATATGTAGGGCAACTCATTTCCTTCCACTCAACACCACAGATCCACAAGCCTGTGGAGGCAGGCGCAGTAGGAAGCCCCTCACACACCCCTTCCCTTGGAGAGCCAGGGATGTGCATAGCCTGGGTACCGCTCCAGTTCAGTTCCAGACTTGTTAGGTACCCCGGGCATTCACTTTTTTGTGGTTGTGTTGTGTGTGTCAAAGTCCAGTAAGGCTACAGACCCTCCTTGCTCATCCCTATGATGATGCTCTTTGAGAAATTCTTATCCATGTTCCCAATCCCCATTACTGGAATTCTGGCCTTAAAGAAGTGAGCAAGACTAACTGCAAAATAGAAGGAAAGGCCAGGCGTTGGTGGTTCATGTTTTTAATCCCAGCACTTGAGAGGCAGAGGCAGATGGATCTCTGAGTTCGAGGCCACCTGGTCTACAGAACTAATTCCAGGACAGGCTCCAAAGCAATACAGAGAAACCCTGACTGGAAAAAAACAAAAAACCAAAATAAAACAAAAAGAAAAATCACAGATACTCTTAGATGATATTTTTGTTTTGTTTTGCTATTGAGACGGCTTCATGTAGTCTAATCTAGCTTGGACTTCTTATGTAGCCAAGGATGACCTTGAACTCTGGATCCTCCTCACCTCCACTCAGTTTCTATAGTGCTTTGTGTATTCGTGTCTGCCACTCAACTGAGCCACATCTCCAGCCTTTGTTTTTTCTTATTTATTTATTTTTGTGTTTTGGGGCAGTTTGGCTATATAGTCAAGGCTGGCCTAGAATTTACTATGTAGCCCATGCTTTTCTTGAACTCTTCCAGCCTCAGTTTTCTTCTCCCAGGTTCTGGAATCACCAGCAAAGATTTGCCCAGCAAATCTTTACATTCTACCACTTTAACTGTGACCTAGCAAAACCTGCCTGCTTCTGTGAAGCCATTGGATCTCTTGGAAGGTAGCAAGATGAGCCACTTGAGTGGGCCAAACGAATGCCATCTCCTGTTTTCGTTTTTTAAGTTTGTGTTCTGAAAATGCACAGTGATGAATCAGTGAAATCTGTGTATGAAGCCAAGAGTTGTTTGTTCAACAGTCATAACTGGTAGATTTCTAGACTCAACAGAATAGATGGCCCTGGAGCCACTAACTGCCCCCACGTCCTGACTTTATAGTTTTGTTGCCCTCCCAGAGCTGGCTGCACCAGTGGGGATGGAAGGCTGTGCTCCTTTGTGATTCCATGTGGACCACGCATATTAAGGGCTGGCCCGCTTCTTGGTCTTTGCTGCTAGTCTCAGAGGCACCTGCCTGCTCAGGAATCTGTCCCTGCTCAGAGGCATCATCTACTCATTGTTTTGTCCTGTGAGACCATTCATTCCCTCCCTCTAATGTACCTGTAAATTAACTCTCCTGGGAGGTCTGAGCTGGGGGTAATTAACTTGTTTCTGTGATCTTGTGTTCCTTCTTGCCTTCTCCACCCACTCTTAAATGTCTTAGAAGCTATGGGCTTTCAGGAGGTTCTCAAAAAGAACAATGATATTTAGTTCACCACAGATTTGGCCGAACAAGTGATGTGTACTTTGAGACAGGGTCTCACTGTGTAGCCCTAGCTGGTCTGGAACTCAGTACGTAGACCAGGCTAGCCTAGCTCTCAGAGATGCACCTGCCTCTGCCTCTTGAGTGCTAGGATTGCATGTGTGTGCCACCATGCCAGGCATAGGCTTTGTGGGTTTTGCTAGCTCACTACGCCCTGGATTAAAGGTTGTAAGAGCCTCCCATTGGTAGCTGGCTTTGGTTGATAACTGGTTCTTTCCTTTTACAGAGTCGGGGGCTGCTGTCTGTGAATTCTTTTTGAAAGCTGCATGTGGCAAAGGTAAGCAACCCTTGACTCCCTCACATCCTTCCTGTGGTACCCTCCTTTATCCCCTATCAGATTAACAGGCCACCATGTATCTGCTCATATATCTTTTCCTAAATGAAGCTGTGGCTTGGATGGATGATGAACTATTTTACCCAAAAGATAAACACAGACTGAGCTGCCTAATTTAGAGGCTGCCTTCTTGGGTCACTTTTCCTTCTCAGACAAAGAGGTCATGGAGGCTTTCAGGAACTTCTCATGGTCCCAGAATTACATGTGGCCATACCCAGTGTTTGAATACAGGCGTTTTAAAAATTGCAGTGTGTACAAGCTGTTTCTTGGTGGCTTCTTAGTCAGACTCCATCGCTCTTTCTTCTGGGGTATTGTTGAAACAAACAGAGGCTATGGGAGCCTGGCTGTCCATATAGAGGTATTAGTGGGCAGGACCTTATGTGTCATTCATACACCTGGGATCTTTTTCTCTCTCTGGGAATTTATTTAGGAAACTAAATTTTAATCAAAGTTTGAATAGGGAAGACAAGCCCATAGCAAAGGGATGGTTTGAATGGGTAGATTAGTCTAGTGAATTTGGACTTCACAGTGTAGTTATTTGCTGCTGAAGCAGAAGACTTGGAGGTAGATCAAGTAGCTTGACTTCATGGTTTCTTGTCAGGATATCATTCCTTCATTGTATCCTAATCTCATCCCCCCAAGTTGGCTCAGCTATTCTACCTTCTGACTGTTATATGGCTTGATTGGCAGGCTGTTGTTTTTTCTAAAACTTGAATAAAACTGTCTTTGACTTATTTTTGA